TTGTCATTCCCTGCATAGTAAACCATGTGGTTGTCAGATTCAAAATGGCCAATACCAGTCCATTTCAGCTCACTAATGCCTAAGATATCGATGTTGATGCGTTCCATTTCATTTTTGACAACTTCCAATTTTCCCAGATTCATACTTCGTACATTCCATGTTCCGATTTCCAGTGGATGTTTACAGCTGTTTCTCTTCAGTTTGATTTGTGGCCCATTAACAAATGAAGGTTCCTTTTGGTTTTCTAACTCAAGGTCTTTGCACATTTCATTATAGTATTAGACTTTGTTCTTTGACAAAGTTGTCCTTTGAAATTTTCCTTTCAGCTCGTTTACCTCGTCTTGTCTTCCTCATCTTTGCTTTAGTATCTCTGTGCTAGAAAACAAGTTTCAGTGTCTCTTCTGACATCCATTTTGGTCTTTTCCTTCTTTCTTGTCTTCTTAACAACCTTTTGCTTTCTTCCTGTGTGATGTTCTTGATGTCATCCCACAACTCTTCTGGTCTTCTGTCATTAGTGTCTGACTCATCAAAGCTGTTTTTGAGTTTATCTCTAAATTCACGTGGGATATGTTCAGGGTCATATTTTGGCTTTTGTGGACTTGTTTTCATTTTCTTCACTGTCAGCCTGCAGTTGTATATGAGCCATCGATGGTCTGTTTCAATCTGCCCCAGGCCTTGTTTTGACTGATGATATGGAGTTTTTCCACCATTTCTTTCCACAGATGTAGCCAATTTGATTTCTGTGTATTCCATCTGGTGAGGTCCATGTGTATAGTCATCTTTTATGTTGTTTAAAAAGGTATTTTCAATAAAGAAGTGATCAGTCTTACAAAATTTTATTATATGATCTCCAACATAATTTCTGTCACCTAGGCCACATATTCCCACGAGGGATCTTTATTCTTTGATTACAATCGCCAGTAATTATCAATATATTTTGGTTGCTTGATTGATCAATTTCAAACTGAAGAATTTGGTAGAATTCTTCAGTTTTATCATCACTGGCTTTAGTGGTTGGTGCATGAATTTGAATAATTGTTGTATTTAACTGAACTCCCTTGTAACCGTATGGATATTATCCTATCACAAACAGCATTATACTTCAAGACAGATCTTGTGGTATTCTCTTTGATGATTAATGTGATGCCAGTCCTCTTCAATTTGTCATTCATGGCTTAGTAAACCATGTGATTGTCAGATTGAAAATGGTCAATGCCAGTCCTTTTCAGCTCACTAATGTCTAGGATTAAAAAAAAAAAAAAAAATCCTGAAAAATGTCTAGGATAAGGAGCTCTGGTAGCGTAGTGGTTACGAATCGGGCTGCGAACCGCAAGGTCAGCAGTTCGAAACTACCAGCTGTTCCGCGGGAGAAAGATGAGGCTTTCTGCTCCCGTAAAGATTTATGGCCTCGGAAACCCTGTACAGGGTCGCTGTGAGTCGGAACCAACTCCACGTCTCATAACAATAACAATGTCTAGGATATACCTCTTTCTGCATTCTAGTTCATTTTTGATAACTTCCAGTTTTCCTAGATTCATACTTTGTGCATTCCATGTTCTGATTATTAGTGGATGTTTACGGCTGTTTCTCCTCATTTTGAGTTGTGTCCCATCAGCAAATGAAGGCCGTAAGAGCTTTACTCCATTTGTGTCATCACTGTCACTGCTACTTTGAGGAGGCCGCTCTTCCCCAGTCGTTGAGTGCCTTCCAACCTGAGGGGCTCATCTTTTGGCACTATATCTGACAGCAGTTTGGTTCTCTTCATTATGTTTCAAGAGTCAATATTCTGGTGCTATCTGACAGTGTTGTCCTGCTAATCAGAAGGTTTTCAGTGACTAAGTATTCCGAGTAGTCCATCTCTCCTTCCTAGTCTGTCTTCGTCTGGAAGCTCAGCTGAAACCTGTCCACGTTGGGTGGCCTAGCTTCACACAAGCCATGACAAACTGACAGATGAGTGGGGGCTGGAGCTGGAGCTATAGTGATAAGTGGGCACTGAGATTTCTGTGTATGAGAATGACCTGGTTTCTGAAAATCTAGGTAAAGAAAGAATATGTTCACATGCTGTTTGTAGTCAAAACTCCTGGAATAACTGTTTCAAGTATAAGAAAAAAAATCTGTAATAAAATATGTATTTTCATTAATGTATGTTGTGTGGCCTTGATGGTCTTTTATACACTGATCATTACCAGACGTGTATTAAAAGGTAGTAAAAGGAAAACAATGATCTATTTTAAGTTTGATATCTTGGATTCTCTCTGTTATGATTTTTGCTCATTTTGTGCCATTGTCCCAATTCAAAAAAGAATGCACCCCTGGGGTTATAAATTGTTCTAATTATTTGTTCAAAGAGTTTAAAAAAAAATTTAAGTTCATGTTTTCACTTAGTTTTGCCTGACTGGTTTCTTCTGTTTGTCCCTCTCCAGGGAGCTATTTTGCCAGCCACTTCATTATGGGAGGAGAGAAGTTTGACTCAAGTCATCCTGAAGGTTATCTGTTTGGAGAGAACAGCGACCTGAACTTCCTAGGAAACCGACCAGTACCGGTATTGTTGTGATCTGTTTACTTCCACCTGAGATTTAAGTGGTCAGAAAAACACTCTTGAAAAAATAGCTTGACAATTGTTGGTTCAGCAGTGTTTGTACTTGATCTGAGTTGAGAGAGACCCCAACAGTCACACCACAGAGTCTACCTGAGGGTCAGGATTTGTCTCACAAAATGATTAGTCTTCTCAGAGATTCCGGTCTCTACTTAAATATCCCCTCTTCAGAGAGCCCTTCTCCAACTCTACTAGCCCATATCTTACTTTTTTGTTTCTTCTTCATAGCACTTAACACCCTAAATGCTTTATTTGTTTCTTTCTCTATTAATTGTGGCATAGAAGAAAATGGTCAGAGTTGAAATATCGGTAATTAACAGGCAATTTTCTAATTGGATGGTGTTTGTAGAGTTTTGTGTAATCAGTCACAAGGTTATCATGAGACCCCAGAAGGTTTAGCTGAGAGATCATAAATATCCCAAAATAGCTTGTTTTTCTAATCTGCAGACATCTTGGCGTACACACGGATACACGTTTTTACAAAATTTGTGTTGCCAGGGTCCTAGCATAGACATTCTTTCTGAGAACAGGTTGTGCAAGGAGTGAGTGGGAGTAGATTTCATGGAACAGCCCAACCACATTCCTGACCCCCATCCTCATTGTTAGGGGCAGGTGAAGTTTTACAAGAGTCCTGCTTCAGGTAAATAGCAGAAATAAGGCTAAAGGGGGGGAAATGGAATCTAAAGTGAAATGGACTCTAATCTAGACCCGAGTCAGCCAGGTTGGTTATGCCAACTGCCTCAGGTTTGGGGATTTGCTTACATATTCCCTCTTTCTGATCTAGCCACTGCTAGGAGGTACTGCTCACATTTACCCACATAAGACTAACCTTCCTTCCGCTAGGACTTTAGTTGGACATTCTACAGTTTTATGTTATCTGTCAATTAAGTGACTGATAAACATGTTTTACATTTATTTTGTCATGTTATTGGGCCTCATCTTTAGGGTGAGCTGGCTGTTACTGGATTTAGTGTTGCAAATAGAGCTACAGTAGAACATGAAGGGCTAACCCGGAAACAATATACATGGTCACTATAAGTCGGAAATGTCTCCACGGCACTTAACAGCAAGGGCTAATTTAAGGTGCAAAATCAATCTCCTGGGAGAATTTGTCCTGCTCAAAATACCTAATTCTTTGCATAGTGAGGGGAATTGTAGTGGACTGACATTTTCATGGCACATTTAATTATTCTTATAATGACTATACTTAGGATTAGGAATGTTGCTATTGTTGTTAAGTGCTATTGAGTCGGTTCCAACTCGTAGTGGCCCTTTATAGGGTTTCCAAGGAGCCACTGATGAGTTTGAACTACTGACCTTGAGGTTCAAACTAACCTTTCGATCCAGTGTTTATCCTACAGCACCACACCAAGACTCCAGGATTAGGAATAGTAGTCGAGTTTGTAATATCAGATGCAACCAAGAACGAATCTTATTTAGTAACCAGCCAAAAATATAAAAAAAGGAAGGAACAGCCATGGATGGTATTGCATGGAACTAGGCAACCTTTTGGTGGATCATTATGAGGTTGTTCTATAGTGGACTTCTATGAACCAGGATTAAACATAATTGATGGTGGACAGTAGAGTGAAAGGACTCCCTTTTCTATTAAAGGGACAGTAATTTGGGAGGCCACCTATTTGTTCAGTCAGCAAGAGACTTTATTCTAATTTCTTCTGTTTTAGGAATTCTTTTAGGTTGGCAAGCCTATATTTTTACAACAGCAGTCACGGAGGGGAATATCAAAGCATATAAATAGTTGAGACTTTCCTGAAACTAGTTACAGGCTCTGGTAACTAGCTCGCTGAGTAGAGATCGCTTCAGGAAGGACATGGCTTCCAAGAACATCAACAGAGAGTGTGATAGCTGTTCAGCCTGCTAAAGAATGCTAGTCAGGTCAGATCTTAGATAAAAGCCACATACAAACATAATCAAAGCCAGTTTATATCAAGGAATGGCTTTTAAATCTGTTTGTAGATTCAAAAGTTGTTTAGTAGGTCCAAGCAATTGTGAGTAGAATGATTTTTGTTTTCAGTTTCAGGGAGAAGGATGGCAAGATTTAAACAAGTCACAGGATGTAATCTAATATTAGATGCAGCCAGAAGGGGAACTTCATAGGAAGTAAGCTGACTGGCAAGAGCCATTGAGTCAGATCAGAGTTCAGCATGGAGGACACAGCATGGGGCACATAAACATCCAAAAATTCCCAGTACTATATCGTTGGTGCCACCTAACACTTTGACAGTGGCAACTACTGCTCAGACAAGGAGGTTACCCTTTGGCTACGGGATCAAATTGATGGATATAGTGGCGTATAGGTCCTTGATATCATCAGAACCCCTAAAGCATTTCCAGAACTTCATGCACAAACAAGGAAAAATGTATGTGATAATTAGGAAAACCTAGTGCAAGTATGTTTGGTAGTACTTCTTCCAGTTTATGGCCTTCTAATCTTCCAGCGTGCAAAGCCGTTTGAACTGCAAGGTCAAGCAGTTCAAGCTCACCAGCTGCTCTACGGAAACCCTATATAGGGTCACTATGGGTCGGAATCGACTTGACGGCACTTAACAACAACAACAATCTTCCAGAGTAAGGAGCTCTGGTAGTGTAGTGGTTATGAATCAGGCTGCTAACCTCAGGATCAGCAGTTCAAAACTATCAGCTGTTCATGGGAGAAAGATGAGGCTTTCTGCTCCCGTAAAGAGTTACAGCCTCAGAAACCCTGTACAGGGTCGCTATGAGTCGGAACCGACTCCACGGCACATAACAACAACAACAACAACAACAACAACAAGCAAGATAGAATGGCTCCAGTATCAACTGAAAATTAGCTACTTTCTCCATAGTAGTAGAACAGTCATGCCATGCAAGCTAAATGCCACCATGGGAAAGGCTCTGTTGTTCCCTGAGAGTCCCTTCATTCCATTTTAGATTGAAGGGTGCCCTGTTGAAGTACCTTCATTCAGATCTTTAGATTCATTAATTTGTAGGAATCCTTTTTCCTGTGACCTGGTTTTTGTTTTTGTTTTTCAGTAATGACAAACATCAGGCTTGGTGTGTTTCAAATTACGTCAAGGTTTGGTCAGGATTTGCAGTTGCTGCATTTGAAGGGACATCAGCTTATTTGGTTTCTTTTGTTCTATGGTCTGAGCCAGTTTAAAGGCTAGATGAATCAGCTCATTTATGGGAATAGTTTCTCAGTCTAACCTGGAGTGTTTGACCAATTCAGATAGTTCTGGGTACAGACTGTTTCAAAACATCAATTTGAATGCCATACTAGCTCAGGTCTTGGTAGGGTCCAGTCTAGAATATTTGGTGAAGAATAGCTAAGTAATCCCTGTAATTATAAACATTTTAATCTTTTTCTTGTAATACAACTTTGTCTTTTTGCCCAATCTATTTTCCAAGGGAAAGCTTTAAGGATGGCATCTAAAAACTTTTAATTGTTTATTAAGCTTTGTCTAATAATACTAGCTTTTATAGTTAAAGATTTTTCTAGTTGTCTCATGTTTGCCTCTTTCCTCCATTTGGACCTCTCCTGGTGATACTAATGTGTTTATTAATTAGTATAGGTCTGACAGCCTCAGTTCATAGATCCCAGTCAGTATTCTAAATTGCTGTGTAAATGTTTGAGGATCTTCATTAGGATGAAGGCATTCCTTTACTATAGCATAAAGTTCTGCTTTTGACCAGGGAGAAATGACAACCTGTGGGGAGTTATCTTTTCCCTTTGGGTTGTTATTGTTAGGTGCTGGCAAGTCGGTTCCGACTCATAGCAACCCTCTATAGGGTTTCTGAGGAGTGGCTGGTGGGTTTGAACTGCCCACCTTGCCGTTAGCAATCCAATGCTCATTCTTCAGCACCACACCAGGATTCCGTGTCCATTTCTTTGGGTGTCTAACCTTAAAAGGCATTTCAGGAAAGGCTGGCTGTTGTTTACTTGATTCTTTAGGGAATGAAGAAGGCATAGAAGGGTTTAGAAGAGAGATGGCCGACTAAGGAGCAGATGGCATTGGAGTAGCAGAAATCGATGGAACAGAAGTTTGACCCTCAGCTTCTGAGTTTGTTTAGTTAACTTAGAAACAGTATCCTGCAGGGGAGCAGTTTTGCTACCTTTCTGTATCTTTAGAAGCTTCTTGGTGCCCATTGAGAATTATTTAACTCAAGAGTCTTTCTTTTCCAATTTACTGCACAAAATACTAATTTAGATAGTTTTTCTTAAAACCCACCTGTCTTCCAGACTGCCCATAGTGGGGTCTTGCCAAACAGACAGAAACATCCAGGTATGTGGACTAAAATATCTGTTCACATAGTAGGCTGGAGGCCCACAGGGAAACTCCACATTTCCTCTAGATGTGACATTTCCAAGTTTTCAAAAGATAGTAAAGAATTGAGGGTCAAAAAGAACTGAGGGTCAAAGCTTCCAGGACCTCAAAGCCAAATTAACTTCTTGATGGGGCTCTTGCTGTAGTGTCAGGTTGTGGTCTACTGTAACTAGTGTGTACCTGGTTGCACAGTGCTTGTCTTGTGACCGGGGCAGCCTCACAGCCATCTCAGCCTCTGCACTGTTTTTTCCTGTTCTAGGAGTTCTCAGATGGTAGCAAGCACTCTAGAGGCCTTTAAATGCACGGCAGAAGGTTTTTTGGTTTTGTTTCTTTTTCAAAATGCAAGTTATTTAAAAAAAAAAAATTTGTTGTGAATTGAATGAAGGTTTACAGAGCAAATCATCAGTTTTACATTCAATAAATCACATACTTCATGTCATTACAATGGCTGCAATCCCTTCCATGTGCCATCAGTGAATAGCATTTACCTCTAGTCACTAACTTTCAGTCTTCCACATATATCCTGCTACCTTCATCTTTCTGACACGATTTTAAAACAATCTTGCAAGAACTAGAAAGTGATGATCTTGTTGATAAGTACTGTCAAGTCTGTTTCAACTC